TCCGGTACCGGGAACCGAACTCACGACCTTGCGCTTGCCAGGCAGGCGCTTTGCCGCTGAGCTAAATCCCCAGACCCTGTACCATTGGTTCTCACCTTGGAAACTGGGTAACTTTGGAAGATTTAATAGAGACTTTTTACAAAAATGCGGGCAGAGTTCAGGCAAACCAACAAGGCGTGATAAAAGATCTGGGCCAAGAGGCCCTGCGCAAGGAAGAGTAAGCGGAATGGGTGGTTCCTGGCACTAGGTGGGACGGCTCCCCAGGAGCTGTGACTTCAGGAGAGGCGTGAGCCAGTGACCTTCTGAGAAGCCAGGACCTAAATACTCTGGCCTCTTACTCCTCCCACTTTCCAGGCCCTGGCTGGACCCAACTGGAACCCAGTGGCATCAGGATGATAGGTAGTCTGGGTCCCAGGGCTGGGGAAACGGGGAGAGAATAGCTCAGAGGGGTGAATGCAGGCTATTAACTCACACTGCATCTTCTTCATATGCTCTCACGTAATCTTACTGACCAGTGAAGCAGTATTCCCGCATCCCCATCTTACAGATGGTACACTGAGGCTGGGGAGGTAAAGCAATTTTGACCAGGTCTAGAGTTGAAAGAGAATCAGACCTTGTTTCCTCTATGCCATACCACCTGGAAAAGGGGCAGGCAAGGAGAGGGAACACACCTGTCCTGCAGTGTGCTGCTTCCAGGGGATAGTTGGACAACTACAGCTATGTGCTGGGGAACTGTTGTTTCTTGTTTACCAGATTCCACGCTGCCTTCCTGTTCCACCCAAGTACCATTCTTCAGGCCAAAGACTCCGCGGACAGGGTGGGAATTCAGTCCAAAAGTCACAAACACATCCCTCTGGCGGCTGGGGAGTCACTGCTGGGTCCCACAAGGAGCCCTCTCACCAGCCACCCTTCACCCCCGCTGACCCAGAGATGCCCTGCCAGGACTTCCCGTGTGTTTTGATGAGTACAACAACAACGATCACCAAACAAATTCAGACTGCATGGGGGAAAGAAAAATTCAGAAGAGTTGCACACTTCATAATTCATTTTACTGCATATTCTTTTCTGTCTTTTGTAATGGTTTAAGATTTTTCTGCTACAGGTACATGCTCAAATAATTAAATCTTGTCAAAAACACTGTATTACCCAATGTGTTGCTCTCTCTCAAGGTGGAGACTGTTCTCTGTTGAATGGACTGCTGCTTTGGATTATCTATTTCACACACACTTTTGCCCTAGCTCACATCCCATAAACACAGCATTCAGATGCCTATCAGGGCAAGGCTAACCTCTGTGGGCTGTCTAACCTAGCTTCAGACTGAGCTCAGCGGAAGGCTGAAGGCAGGAGGAAAAAGGAGTTATGGTATCTGTCCCTGTTCCCCCTGCCCTGCAGAGGTGGCAGTCCTCCAGGACCAAAGCTACCCACCCTGGGCTCCAGGTCTGAGGGGCCCCTCTGATGCCTTCTACGCTGAGGCCTGCAGGACTCCGTGTGGTCCTGGCTTCCTTCTTGTCTTAGCTACTTTCTTGTTGCTGGGACAAAATACCTGACAACCACAAGGAAGAAAGGCTTATTTTAGCCCACAGTCTGTAGATGGTTCAGTTCATAGTCAGCTGGCTCCAAGGCAGGGTGGCATCACAGAGGATAAACAGCTCATGGTGTGTCAGTCAGCTCACACCAGCAGCCTGCAGCTAGCCTTCCTTTCCCTTTTCATTCCATTCAGGCTACAAGGCTATTGGTTGTTGCCACCCACACTGAGAGTGGGCCTTTCCATCATCTACATCCAGAAC